TTAAAGAGGAGTTAGAGCTAACATTCTAGGTAAAAATAGAGACATATCTAAAAGTAAGATCTTCATGCTCAGGAGCCCTGAGGTGTCTTGCTCTCAAGATCAACAATAGGTTCAGCCTAGCAGGTCCTTTGACAGGCATGTTTAATGACAAGGATTCTAAGTTCATGGGCCGCAGAATGATTCCCAAGCCCAGCAGCCCCAAGCTGAGTCAGTTTCAGGACAGGTTATGAAAAGGCAGAGGCCTGGTTTATTGAGAGAGATTCCATATCTCAGAATTTTACATTGCAGCAGTCCTAGTCAACCAGGATCCTGGGATTCAAGAATTATTTATTTATTTATTTAAAATATTTATATGCCATCCTAATCGCAAAAAAGCCTCAGGACAGCTTATAATACAATAAGCTAGAAAATAAATCCAAGTAACAGAGAGGTTTTTCCCTTAGAGCTTCTGCTGCAAAGACTCCTTGGTGGATCCTCATTCAGGAAACAGGTCTAGAATTTAACGAACCTTGCACTACACACAATGGCTGTGATCAGGTCCAGTAGCAGGGTCTGCATTGGAAATCTCTAACTTGTAGACATCAAGACAAAGTAATGATCAGTAATAGTCCAAACCTGAAGGCATTCTGACAAGCAAAGACTAAAAGACCTGGCACATGGGAAATATTACTTTGTGGTCTCTGAAAAGACGGACATTATATTCCACAATAGTGTTTAATGATACACAGTTCCAGAATGGATAACAAGTCTAGAAGAAAGAGCATGTTGTTCATTATGTTGAAGGAAAGTCCAGAAAGAAGGTTTAACAGGCAATCAAAGATATGTCATCTGTTCTTCTACAGGGAACCAGTCAGAGTCCCAAAGTACTTGTGTAGCATTAGTTGCTGTTTGAATTTTTCTGGTTACAAGATTTTTTGGAAATACAGACAGACAGGGTTAAAAGTGTTGTCAGGCCAAAATATTTGGGTCAGCATGATCACCAGCTACATATTGTGTCTTGGAAGGTCTGTCCGTACTCCCCTCTGCCCAACACACACATTCTTTGAAATCTCAGCCAAGCAACAATATTGGAAGTCTTGCACTAGGTCATTTGGAGCTGCAGTAGCTAGTTATAGAAGGGAAACAGCCCTGGCATATGCTGGAATCAGAAGCAGCAGAAAGAAGGAGCAATTACAAGGAGGATGCTATGAAAACCTGTGGACTTTATTATGTCCAACCTGGAGAACAAGTCATCTTATGAAGAAGAAGAGTGAAGAGCCAACATGAAGGGGCCCAGCCAAAGTCGGACAGGGAACTGCAGGATTCCTCCTGGACTATTTCTGAACTCCCCAAATGTAGGAATTGTGACTTGAGACAATTCATTTCTATGAATCGTGTAGGAGCAGAAGTTTAAATAGAATGCTGTGAATTTCTCTGAATTACTTTGGAGTAAACTGGCTTTTCTTTTTGTTGTTCCAGTAAGGTTGCAGGTAGTTCAGTGTGAGCTTTGCTGGCTGGGACTGTGGAAACCTACTGGAAACACAAGAATATGTTGTCTCAGAAAGCCTCATGTGGATTGCCAGGATCTGTAGTGTGGTTAGGTCTACCTAGTCTGGAGGAGCTGACTGGACTCACCTGATTCTGTAGTCTATGTCTGCAAGGCTGGAGAGATGGAAATTTTCCTTTGACTCAAAGGAGAGGGCAAAGCCAGAGCCTGAATACAAGACTGAATGTCATGTTCCTGGAAGAGCAATCTGATTGCCATCTTCATCAGAATCTTCTGTACCCTGAAAAGGCTGAGAGCTGGAAGACATGGCAGTATTTTCCCAATTAAGTTAGCTTAGAATTGTAGCTGTCATATAATCACTGAAGCAACTACCTGTTCTCACTTGGACAGATAAAAAGAATTGAGTTCATGGTGTAGCCTGGCCTTAACATTCAAGGATAATGTTCCCTATATCCCTATATTTCCCTATATGCTACTCATAAATATTCTGCAGGGTATTTCAGTATTCTCAACACAGCATGGGAACTGAGGCTAAAAGAGCAAAAAGCAAACTTCTGTGTCTAATAAAGAACCCAGCATATTTGTGATTAACTATTCATTATGGCCTTCCGACATTCCATTTTTCAGATAGTCGAACAAGGATTTGGTTGCTGTTTTACTGAGTTTAGAACAATCATTTTGTTGTGTGCTAATCTGGTTATTTTAGAGGGTCTGGATTCATCAAAGAGCTTTTTATATTTCAGAGCCCCAAGTAGTATATGATCACCTTCAGCAATATTAAGTTTAATTTTATTGCATATCAGGAAGCTAAGTCACTCTTAGCTTTTAAGTTGATGAAGTTAGAACAACCTTCAATAAAGAAAAATACATTTCATAACCTATTGCTTAATTATTTATAAAGAATAAGAATCATTTTTAAAAACTTAGAGTGTATAAAAATTACTGTAGTTTTATTACACTTACCTAGCCATATAGGGTACCTCTGCCATGTTGCATTATTTACAGAATTTTACAGAGGGTTTTATATTACTTTGCTTTCCCACCACAGTCTTATTTTGTTCCCAAGTGTTGCCTTTTGTTGTTGTTGTCAGTTGCGAAGTTGTGTCCGACCCATCGCGACCCCATGGACAACATTCCTCCAGGCCTTCCTGTCCTCCACCATCCCCTGGAGTCCACCTAAGCTCACACCAGCTGCTTCAGTGACTCCATCTAGCCACCTCATCCTCTGCCGTCCCCTTCTTCTTTTGCCGTCAGTTGTTCCCAGCATTAGGCTCATCTCCAGAGAGTCCTTCCTTCTCATTAGGTGGCCAAAATATTTGAGTTTCATCTTCACTATCTGGCCTTCTAAAGAGCAGCCAGGGTTGATTTCCTCTAAAGTGTTGCTTAATCTCTGGCTAAATAAATACAGTTACATGTCCTCTCTATCTGAGTGATGGCAACTGTGTGCTATGATTGTGTATTGAGTTACCCTGTATCTTAAACTTTTTTTAGTGGTAATGCTGCTATTGGAGTTGCCTGGTACTGAAAGTATTAAATAATTTTGTTCATTGAGTCCTGAAAAAGTTGCAAACTGCTGATCTGGCCCTAAAATAAGCAGATGATTTAATAATAAGTCTGAGAAGATGAACAAGAAAATATGTAACAATACCCCTGTCTCATATACAAGAACATTGAAATATCCTAGTGAATATGTATGCACTAATAGATCTGAATAATTCAGATTTACCTTGACTCCAATATGGAGTAAATAATTGGAAGTTATCTCAAATTCAGTGTTGTAATTTGTTGGTGAAAGAAATGAGATATAGATGATACAGATAGATAATGGTATATAGATGATATAAATATATGAAAAAATAAAGGTGTGGCTAAAGGCCAGCTAGGTTTATGTAAGCACTTGTACATTGGTAATGAAGCTCACACATTTTTGAAGGGTTCTTCTATGTCAAGGTAATCTCTGAGAAGAATCAAGGTTCTAATTGAAGAATATAGATTTGGTTTTGGATCTTACCTTATATGGTTAGGATTATCTGCTGATTCATACTGAGCTTTTTTCTTTCCTATTTGCATTTACTTTTCTGCTTTAGTAAGTTCCAGAATCGTCTGCTTCGTCTTTAAGTTCCAGGCGTATAAGAACACACAGGGCTCCTACCACAGTTTGTACAGTTAGAAATATTTGTCACATCCTGCAAGAAACAGGTCCAACTGGGGAAAACTAAACTAGCAATATTTCTTAAGAATAAGGCACAACAAGGCAATACAGAGTATGCACATGTATAGACAGAATGCCTTGGGCCTGCGCCAAACACAATTAGAACAAAGCATCATCACTTGACAACTTTCTCATGAGCTGCCTCCCATCGCATGTCTGGGAATTTTCTTCCCTCCTTTCATACCATATCTAAGGATGACCCTAACCAAGATGCAGCTCAAAGACTCATCCTTGGGCTGATTCTTTCTCTGTTCTTTACTGATCTATGAGCAGTTTCTACTGCAGCTGCATAAACATCAGTTTTTTCTTTAACCCTGCATTTGCCAGAGCAAAGGGGACACCATTTTCTCCAGCCATTAAACTGTGATCCATTTTCTCTTACAAAACTGACACATTGTTAAGAAAATGTTTTTGTGGAAGATACCGACAGATTTTTACCTTAGATTAACTGGTGAGAGGGGTTGTTCTCTTTCCATTCTGGTTAACAAATATGATAACAGCTATAGCTGAATGGAAATGTTTGCAGCCACAACATTTGTTATTATCTAGGGTTGGCCATCAATATTGTATTGACTGGTTGGGCAAAGCAATCCATAATCCATCTCTATAAACTTTTGTTACTGATCAATACATAAAATACATAGGGATTTAAGCAAGAATGTAATAGGGAACTGAATTGTCCCATTCTGCTTAACCAGAGGATCACCACTTTTGTGTCTGTGCCTATCATGCCTGTGGATCTTAAGCTTTATTTTATTTAGCAGACTTTTGTTTCATGTCTGTTGGACATCACAACTGCTCTTTAGGAATGTATTGCCTGATTTAGCTAATTGCTGGTACTGCAATTTAGTACTTTTAAAAATATGTTTTGGCAATGCCCAGTAGTTGTTTCTTTTTTGGAAGAGATTATATATTAGAAGAGAGATACATTTTGCAGTAGAACAGCCCTTAGTATTTGCTGATATGATACAAGCTAGTTTAAATTATTTTCCTGCTTCCATGTAAATTAACAAATAGTATAAATAGATTTTACATGCCCTCTTGGCAGTTAAAGATTGATACTATGATATCAGAATGATACATGATCATCTCTTATAATGCAATAATGAGGATCTCATGCTGTTTGCAGCATTTGAAAACTTATTTGGATATTTAGCCTGCTTCACTTGCTAGTGTTATTGCTAGGAAGTTGTATTTTCATAACTGTGCACATCATATGTATTGGTTACTATGGATATATACACATTTATGCATATTTTAAGATAGTTCACAGGACTGTGATCTTCATTGTTCCATAGGATGTCTTATGAGAGCCAAGTGTGGTGCTATCAGTGGAAATGGAAACGACATTTGCTGTTCCTGTTTGTTCTCTGTCTTTTATGTGTACAGTATTCAGGTAAGAAAGAAATTTTATTTTGGTCTCCAGAGAACTCTAGTTTAAAAAATGGACAGATTTATAGAAGATAATTGTGTTGATCTTACCAGGGTTGTGAGGAAGACAGCTGAATTTTTGTACTGACATTGATAAATATGATCTTAATTAGTGTCACTTGAATACTGTTGTATCAGTACTCCCCTGCCATTTATAAATAGCCACACTTTGATGTTCCTGTAAAAGTAATAATCCAGTGATAAGCGTAACTTCTACTTAAACAATTCCTAGAAAAAAAAAATACTAATCGGTTTCTTATTCAAAAACCAATTTCCTTTAAGCATTACAATCCCTTACAAGAGAGTAAGTCTTGTAAGGGAGAAATTTGCCAGAAAGTTGAATTTAATTTTGAAACAAAACAAAACAACTAATGGTTAGTATAGTGCATTTTAAGTAAGGTATTTCATCCACTCACTCAGTCTTCTGTATGGAAGTCAGAAGGTAACTTAGAATTATTGCCAAAATGTTTACAGTGCAATCCTCTTGCATGTTTACTTGAAAGTAGATTTCTGGCAACTTTCTCAAGCTGCTGCCCATCCAAGAAGGGTGATAAATGATTAGCTCTTTGAGGTATTGAAAGCAAATGGAATAGTTTCTATAATCTATTTTTATGCAGTTCATGGCATGCTCTTGCAGAAAATAGGATATTCAGTCAGTCTACTGGCATATTTCAATAGGATGATTCTGAATATAAGTGAATTGCAAAAGACATGAAAATATATACTAGGATTGTGAGGGTTTCTTGAGTTGTTTTAACAACAAAATAGTCTAAGTGTCTTCCAATGTAGCTTTAAAAGAATAATAATCCAGACAAAAAAATTAAGCAATAATATTTATTGTATTTATTTTACTTTGTGTATTCTGGTTTTATTGGATTTTGATAACATTATGATTTTAGTGCTATTGATATTAATTGTCTGTTGTCTTGTGTGTTTCATATTATGTCAGTTGTATGGATTTTAATGATGTGAGCCACCCAGAGAGCTTTATGGCTAGTGGGGTGGCATACAAATCAAATAAATAAATAATATCTGAGACAAAGCTAAAGAAAGCAGGAAAAAATCAACAATAAAACAAGCCTCAGATGCCAGAGTTAACCTGTGCTTACTACTAAAGTTCATTCAACTTTTATCTTTATCAAGCTGGTGCGACATGCAAATCTCAACATGCAAGTATTTGCTGGTATTTTAAAATTTTGTACACTAGTTAAAACCCAGAGAGCCTCTTATGGAATGAGTGGTGAGTAAAAAATAAAGAAACTGCTCTTCTGTCATCCTGGGGCTAGCAAGTTAGAGCTGCAGGCACTGAAATTCCAATTTTGGTACAGAGAGAAGGGCAATATTTATCTGGTATTTTTATTAATGCTTTATGAAAGTTCCCTCGTGCTGTCACTGCAGTGTTGATGCATAAATTAGTGTAATACTTCTTTGACTCATGCATGTTTCTGAAGACTTTTTTTAAAAAAACCCATATTTATTGTAAAGAGAAAATAACCAGAGTTGCAGTAGGAAAAAAAAGTTCTTAGTTTCAAAATGTTTTAACCTGTTTTGAGATTTATAGATCTTTTCCAAGAATGTTTTCCCCTCTCTGCCCCCACCTGCCAACAACTTTTCTGCTTATCACCCTTTTTGGAAAGAAAACTGTTGTTATAGCTCATTTAGAAACCTTACTGCTGTTTCCATCATCCAAGAAAAACAGGTTTACTTGTTTGTTTGCTTGCTCCTGTCATGGATTACTGCAACTCTTTAGATCTTGAGAAAAGTGTTTATCCTTTTTTTTGTCTTAGCTTTGGCATATTAAATAAATTTATACGTCTGGAACAGGTGCACATAAGTAGGAGAAACATAAATTATTGCATATTCATAACATATATTACTTAGCAGAAAGCCCCACTGGATTGATTCTGTTCTCTTACTATGGCTTTCATTGCCTGTTGCTTTTCATTCATCGTTCAAAATAATGCAAACCAGGAATTAGTCATTTAGCACTGTTCTCACAGTCCTAAAACCAGTGCTTTTTTTGTAAGAAAAACGGTGCCGGAACTCATGAAATTATTTAGCTTTCGCATGTAGTCAATCACTGTACACACACCCACACATCTCAGTTGTGTAACGAAACATAATGGTCGCCGCCCGCAGTAAGCACTCAGCACGCGACCACACGACCAATCACAAGCCAAGCAGCGCCACAAGCCAAGCAGCGCCATCACAACCAGCGCGGACAAAGCACGCATGCTTTGGATTCGACACACAAGCAGCCCGCATGCACCGTTTTAATGATTTTGCCGCCAACCTGCTACACTCGACAGGGCGATTCAAATCTGCATGGACCAAACATGAATTTTTCAAAAGTTACTTTTAAAACTTGAAAAATCTGTTGAAAAAAGGTGCTGGAACTCTGTTCCGGTGCTTTCTATGACAAAAAAAGCACTGCCTAAAACCATTGAGAAGTCTTGAAGAAACCTTTTTGACTATTATGAGAGCTTTAACATACACATTTAGTCTTCAAAAGTAGTTTGTTTTTTAGAAGACTTTGCAAGCAAAAATGTGTGAGGAAAAACTTAAAGCATTTTTCACATTCTGACTAACTCAGTTTGATGTGAAAACAAGCCATAACTGAAGAAAGTCCTTCAGGAAGCCACTTCTCATTATGTCTGCAGTTTAACATGGTTGTGCGTCAACGTGTATATATAAGAAGGGAGGCAAATGATAGGCAGATGAATGACTCTAAATACTCTAAAGCCTCATGAATTCTACTAATGACATCATTCACTTCAAAGCCATGGTAAAATTGGTGTATTTAATTCATTTTGTCCTGTTGGATGACATGCATCTTTGGTGGAATACGTTTAAGCAGACAGACACCTTAAAAAGTCTGCTTTCTTTTCTTTGGATGGGCTTGTGCAGCTATAATCCATTAGTAGTGCGCCTTAAGAAAGTGGAAAGCAATAGGTCATAGAACAAAAACTGAACTGAATTACCAATAGGGGTACCTGGTTGCTGGGGTCTTCTAATTGCTTTCAGTATGAAATTCACAGAAAAGTAGTGCTTCTATAAATAAGCAAAAGAAGGTTATGTTTTTTTAAAGCACCTGCTAAACATGTGATATGTTTCATATAGGGAATCACAGATTGATTTGTTCTCCAAAGTCACTGTGAAAAAATGTTATATATTTCCATCTAAAGCACAGCCTTATTATTAGTAGAGAAGTTTGGACATTTTATCTGATAATAGAATCCCACTTGTTACAAATGTCTAACAACAAAAATAATTAATTTAAATAGTTGACTTTCTAGGTAGATTGAAAAAATCTTTAATGGAAAACAAGACACATGGGGCAACAGCTGGAGATGGCTTCTTGACATTCATAGAAACATAGAAACAGAACTAGCCAGAAGGGTCTCCTGGGCTATCTAGTCTGACCCCCAGCTGCAGCAGGCTTCAGTCATAACATGCGTACCATGGCATGTAATTGGTCAGTGCCTGAAATAAGATAGGAGTAGTAAACTCCTACCTGACCCAGCAAGGCCCTTGTGATGTTCTTGTTTGATTCTTCCATCTGAGTCTTCTCAGCCACATGTGACATACTTTGGAGATGAAGGAGAAACTCATTCAGTTAGCTTTAATGCAAAATTCCCTAATTCACAGCTTCTCAGGCGGAAACACTGATTTGTAAATAGTATTGCAAATTCTCTGAATGTTTTGATGGAGTTCATGAAAGAATCCATATATTAGTACAAAAACATGTGTATATTGTTGAAAATAACATACAATGCATATAACATATGAATGCACATAAAACCATTTTTCACAGTATTGCAGAACTAGGTTTAAGAATGGAAAAATGAAAGTGACAGTAACCAAAGTAAGGTATGTGTTCATTCTTAGTAAGTGCCACATGATTTTCATCTTAATATGTGGAATAGCTTAGTGGTTCCTCAATATCAGTAAGTCCACCACCCACCCATTGGTATTTTGTAAACTTCCTCTTCCATTATTTCTATTACCTTTCATGGCCACAGGTTTTTGCTTAATTCAAGGCACTGAAGTTCAAACTGTGTAATTAGTTTATTAAGAACAATCTATTCTAGATATATGACATTTGTTAGTTTCATTATACAGTTAATATTTTACATTTATTGAAGCATTTCTTTAAAAAGGAAGTGCAGATCCTTCTGTAGCATGCTTTTGAACTAATTTCACTCCACGTCATATCCTTGCCTAGGATGTAATGTTGACTTCTGTTTGTCCAGAGGGGAGATCTGAAGGCAAGAAAATACTCAGGTTGTCATATCATCCAAAGAACTGGGCCTTACTGAAATTCCAGGCTTTCCATTCAGTGTCTATCTAATCATATGCCTCAATTATGTTAATCAAACCAAATAACTTATTTTGGCTGTGTCATTGTGGAAAAAAGTCAATACTTCATAAAAAATGTTCTTCATATAGAAAGAGAAGCCTTTGGTTTAGTTGACAAGCTATTTACACAGGCCAGTAACAAATTCAAGAACAGTGGTGGTGCCGGTGGAATATAATTTCTGTTTCCTCTCTCCATCATAGTAGATGGATCTCCCTTCTGCACCTTACAGCCTTTGAAAGGCAAGATAGTGGTGGTGTTGCTAATTAACCAGACTACCTAGAAGCCTATATGGGAGAATAAACATATTATGGTAACAGGGCTGGCAAAAGAAAAATAAAACTCGCTATAATAATACATAAATACAAAGAAGCATAGGCAATCCTTAAAAAAATACATTTTGTAGCAAAGTTGAACATGAACCAAGCAATACACTGTCCTAATCTGGAACCTGCTTTGAGGGATAGACCACAGCTTTGTATTAGGTAAAGCATTAATAAGGAAGATGGCACTCAGTTTCTGGGATGGGAGACTGAGTTTCTAAGTTGGAAGTAGATTTCGAGGCATGCTTGAACCCTGGAACTGGCCCACCTCTGCTCACAAAACTA